TTTTGTCGATTCTCAGTCATGTTGTGTATCACTTAATAGTAAAAAATATTTAGCAGGCAAAAAAAAATGTAGAAGTGGATATTTCCAGGCCAAAGGTGAAACTAACATTTAAGTAATCAGTCAAACCTATCTATAATTCTCACTCTGTCCCATCCCTTTTTTCTTTTTTTGTGTATATCTTTATTTTCCAGACTTTTGATTTTGTAACATTATAATCCCTTGACTCTAATCTTATAGTTGACTTCAAATTTGCTTTTCTTCTTCAGGGATCAACAATTAGTAGTAACCATGGGATTCTGTAGTCTGTATATCTGTATTTTCCGCACTCTTTTGATTTTGTAACATTATAATCCCTTGACTCTAATCTTATATTTGATTTCAAATTTGCTTTTCTTCTTCGGGGAACAACAATTAGTATTAACCATGGGATTCTGTAGTCTGCTATTGTCATTTAATTAGATTTGTAGAAGGTGGACACTGCATCTCTAATCAGACACCTTATTAACTGATTGCTTCGGGTGCTAGAAAAGGAAAAAAAACTAATTGTCTACCTAAGACAGAATATCTTGAGGATCAGAGGAGAGGGAACATAGAGATAATAGGCATAATCGGTTTTCAGAGGCATTCCTTCCTAAATAAGAAACTAATGAAATTGCTGCTAAGTTTGTGTGATTGTCTCAACCTACTGCATATTGGACAACAAGCTGCTCTATAAAACAAGGGAAAAAATGGATTTCATTTTCCTGTACCTCCAACATCTTCCAATTCTTTGTTGCTTTCTTCTTATTTTCTGCTTCCAAGTGCCATGTTTCCTATACTTTCTTTTGATATGTCTCTAGGCAAGCAAAATTTAAAAAGAAAGTTTAATGCTTGGCAAATTATGGAGCAGGGAAGAATATCCTTTGAGCATTGCTATTTTCTATATTATAACACAATTTAATGAACTTCAACACTACTTTAAGCTGCTGATAAGTTGTGAGAAGTTAGAATCAACAACTTTTCAGGAAAACAGGGTAGAGTAATTCCTTCTCTATCTGATGTTGAATCCTACACATCAGCAATCCACTTGAGGTAGTATAATGTTAACCTTAGGATCTTAAGCTTCTCTAACCCTGTATTACCTTATCAATATTATGGCTTTAAAATGGAATTAAATAGAAATTCCAGCTTTGTCCAGTGCTTAAACTGGTTGCAGTGACTGGACAGGAGAAACTTGGTTAGAGCACAATGAAGTGGTTAAGGATCTTTGAAAAATAAGATATCCGTTGTGTGAATAGCAAATTGTCAAAACTTGAAGTTAAAGAGTGATACTGCATGGTAATTCTATTTTCTTCTTATTAGCAGACAAGATAAAGCAAGTCTAACCTGTACTTTATACTTTGGTCGACCTCCTTTTCCCTCATCTTGTCCCGGTTTTTCATAATGATTTTTGGGGGGTTATTTACAAGTGTCTTGTGTTTTATCAGGGCAAAGAAAGAGCACATTAAGGGCTTTATTTTGTATTCCAAAATATAGAAAGTCATCATGTAAGAATTGAATTTAAAGTTGATGATACTCAAATAAAAGGGGTGTATCCCCAGAAATCAACTTTCACCTGTAATATTTTAGAAGTGAGACAACTATTTTTCTGTCTAATTTCCTAATAGCTGCCATGACTGTTTAATATCAGTATATGGGTACTTGTGGCATTTTCTTTTTCCTTTTTTTGGTGATTATTATTTCTTAAAGTTTCGATCTTTACACTCTTTTCAACCAAGGCTTTATGGTTTACCAGATTGAATCTTAAGATGCTTTCTGTAACAACTGTTTTGAGCATGTGTGGTCGTTGATTTGGATGGAGTACTATAGGTACAGTTATGTTGGTGTTAAATTTGGGAGTGTGAGAGAAGATGATATTGAGGAATTGGAGAGAGGAAGTAGTCCAGATGATGGAGAGAGAACTGAGGGTTCTCTGCAAGGGGGGAAGAACTATGGTTGAGAGAGGGGGAGAGATGAAGATATATGATCTTATTTAGAAGTCGATCTCTAAAGATTAATTTTTCTATCTAGCATTAAAGAAAAAAAAAGAATAAGTGTAACTATTTTTGTCTATATAATCCCTCTTTTGCCCTTAAGTGGCCTTCCATTGGGTTGCTTAGGTTTCCTTTACCAAGGTGAGAATCTTTTTGAATTCTTTCCATGATGATCTTTTTTTCCCCTCCTTAAAGCAATGCTTAATAGTAATTTTGGTACTGATTCTGGTTGAATTACTCCCTTCCTTCCAGAGTTGGCGCCAACAATTAGAATGGAATGAGACCTTTTCAAACATGGTGTTTGCTATTGTGTACATTTGGAATTTTTACCACGAAAAAGATACCTGTTGGACATAACCTGCTGTGCATGACAACTATACACTGAAGAACATAGTGGTGCCTGCCATAATCCATCATCATGGATTAGTGGATTGATGGAGGTACTGGCATTTGGAGGGAAGGGAGCAGGGTGGAAGGGAGTTGAAGGGAGTGCCATGGATGGTGGAAGGCAGTGAGAAGGATAGGGTTGGGGGGTGGGATGAAACTGGTCTTTGTCATAATTAGCTTTAGAGTAGGGAAGAAAATTGAGAAAAGAAGAAAACCAAAGGTAGGAACAAAAAGAATAGAGAAAGGAAACATATGTGAATTTACATTTATGATAATAGGTTCGAAGTAAATTCTTTTAAGGCTTTTTAGTGCTATAAAAAATTACATTTAAATTCTGAGATTTTATAAATTAGTCCCTGCATCATTTTAGCAATTTAGCCTTCACCCAAAGATAAACTGTTGAAAAATCAATAATAAACTGTATAGGATCACAAACATTAGAAACTGACTAGATAAGCATCAAAAGATGGAATTGCCTCACAATGCTGACCTTCATTTGTACTAGTGTTTAACATTTTGCAAAGTACCACCTGTTTAATCAATGAATTCCTGGTTTCTTTTAACACTTTAATCTTGAAACATGTTACTCAGAAACTAAGAGGTATATCAGTATCTGGAAAGTACTTCCCAGGGCTTCTTTTCGAGTTCTAATGTACCGGTCCTCCTATATGCAGGTAATGTCTTATACTGTAAATTTAGCATTGCCAACAATTCTGAGACAGCTTTGATTACTGTTGTTCAAGATTTGCAGCAAAGACGCTGATGCATGTAATGTATTTAGGGCAGGGTATGATGCTATTTGGGGTATGAGCAAATGCCAATTCCTGTTATACTTTAATGAAGCAATTTTCCAGTTGTTCTATGGTTGTCTAGATTAATAGCGCTGATTCTTCAAATATGTTAAAGTAATATTTAGTTTCGAGAGCTTGAATTTTTGGCATTGAATGTAAAGTCATCTTCTTTTACATCGTGTAGGTAATCATGGGTACCGTGCATGCTAGAGTGAAGTTGATTAAGCTGCAACATATCTCTCTCGGCTATATTCTGGAAAGGCAACGAGGATATACAGATAGTTAATGACTTCCAAAAGCACTTACTGATGTCGAGGGTCTACTATTTTTCGTGGGACATCATAATAACATTGAGAAGTTAAGCTGACCAGTACAAAATTCCCAATCTTGGTAGTAATACATAATTTGGTATCTGTCAATACAATCTTCCGTGTATTCTTGCATTTGTTGGGGTGTCTCCTTTGCTTTTGACAAGAGCTCCTAGTTTGGGAAGGAAGTTTGCTGTTAGAGAATGGTAGAAGTTCGAGTTTGTTGATTTTTCAGAGCACATGAAGGTGCTCATTCTGTACGTCTTCTAGATGATCAAATACAGTTGAGACAGAAAGTACCATGATGTAGATGTTATCAGAGTGACAATTCTGTTGAGATTTATATGTATACTTTCCAGAACAAAGTTGTCAATAATATGCTGCTCCTTGATTTTGCAACACTCCTAATATTCCCCACGTTTGAATTGTGGACCATTATGGATTCTGCCCAGCAGTTATAGCTCAACAGCTGAAGGTAGGCCTAAACAGCCTTCCTCCGCTCTGCAGTCACTTTACTACCAAGATTAAGTCTTCTCTTCATTGTTTAATTACTTTCATGAACTTTGGTACAAGACAAAGCCCTGTTGAATTCCATTGGTTTCTTCACTTTACTTTCATTGTTGACAGTAGAAACCTTCAATAGTGTAGATGTCCTATGCTAGCAGCAAGATACTCAGGCCCAGGTGATAAAACCTTGAGAAATGATACCTCTGAATTAAACCAAAGATCAGTAGCTCTCTCATTACTTCTGTCTGAGAACTTAAAAACACTCTTCAGCTGAACGTAATTATTTTTATCACCTAAAAGATAATTATTCTCTTTGCTAAGCAAAACTAATTTCTCTTTTGCAACTTGGATGATTAAAAAAAGTTGCCTGCTCGGATATTACATGTCCTCTTTAACAAAAGATTGGGGATTTGGGGGTTTGAAGAAAAGTTACACTTAATTGAAATGAAAGGATATGGTTGATGTAGTCTGCTATAAGAAATTAGCAAATGCAAAGGTAATTAAAGTTGAAGTGGTAGATTGCACTTGATCCAAAAGAAATATGGAACATGCAAAGATAATGTATAAAAAAGAAAAGGGAAAAAAAGCCAGCAAAGAAAAGCAGTCTTTGTTTTCATACATATAAATATCATGGCATGAGATGATGGCAGGAATGTATATGCTTGCCCAGCTACCACCAAGGAGAGTACCAATATTCTTGGAGGAGTATTAACAAAACAAAGAATAGTTCCACTTTAGCCATGAAAGCTGCAACAAGAGAATTAAACTAGTAAAATTATACGCTCATAGAACATGAATAGATAAAGCAATCATGGTTAGCTGTTTTGCCTTTCCCACAAGTAAAAGTAATAGGAACATGTCTTTTTACAAAAGAAAAGCAGAAGGTATCAAACAAAGAAAGTGAAGATATAGCTAGTAAGAAAAAAAAAGTGTATGTATTAAGTGAAAATTGTATTAAAAAGTTATATATACATAGATGAACCGACTGGCTACACATCCCATTCACCACAGGAGTCTTTAGAAACCAGCTAATCAATATACATGTATCTTGAGTGAAGAAAGCAAGTCCAAATTCTTGAATTTACTCGGGGAATGGAGGCTGCTGCACCTGCATCTCTCATGTATGAAGAAATTGAACCACTAACTGAAACTGTGGAGGCAAAAGATTGTGACACCATTCTTCTCCATGTACCTGGTATATATAGTCCTTTTATTTCGCCCGACCCCCCCCCCCACCTCCTCACCCTAGTGGGATTTTCTTCTTCCTTTTTTCCTTTTTTTTTGGGACTTTAACACCTGTTTCCTAACATTTTATGCTTAATTGCTATGAACCATTTAATTAGCATATGACTTCATGTTCTTTTCTACTTCGGGAAATGTTATGCACTGTTGGATTATTCTTTATGTGAAGGTTTTTCATGTTCACAATATGTATGCTTGTGAAATCTAGTTTTGACAGACAATGTCCTCAATGGACTGTAATCTTCCTGCAATTTAGCTGATTATCTTGTTTACCAAATCTTGTGAGTTGTGATTGGATATATGCTACTCTTAGAGGCTAATGTATTTTGATCAACCCCAACTCAGTCTCTTACATATATTACATTTGATCTTTGACATATTTCTCCTGTATTTCTATACAAGAAGATAGAAGATTGATATCAGCTTTTCATGTGGAGCAAACAAAAAACTAAGATGAAACCTGCTATGGTTTCTACTCTTTGATTTAATTTCATTATTTTTGGAGTATAGAGTGAATTTTACTCACTTTGCTCCCATGTCCAGTTCATTCTGATATTTGAAAGGTTCACAAGTACTTTAATTCAGACCATAGAAACTTACAAACTGAATCCGGCAGGTTTCAGAAAGGAGGAACTGAAGGTCCAACTGACTTCAGTAAATACTGTAAGGATCAGAGGACAGAGAGAGGATGAAAACAATAAAACTATCAGCTTTCGGAAAGATTTCTCTGTTTCATCTGATTATGATTCAACAGAGTTAGTGCTAAGTTTGAAGATGGCATCTTGTATGTTAGACTACCAAAAGTCACCGCTCCAGAAGGCAAGCAAGATAGCAAATTGCCTATCCCTGAGCCTCCAACACCTCAGACTCCTGCAGACAAGCCAGAATCTTGGATGCCTGCAGATAAGCCACAGCCATCCCAGAAGCCTGCAGATGAGGTTGACAAAGGAACTAATGAAAATGCAAATGGATAGAAAATTACATGAGGACTGCACTTGATCTGGCAGCAAAACTGAAGATGTCAAGGAGAGTAAAGAATGTGGTTTTGGTTGGTTTTTTTGGTGTAGTACTTGGTCTATACTTCCCTAATTTCATCAGGTCTTTCTGGAGGAAAGCTCAAGACTGAGGCTTATTTATTGCTGTCTAGTGGTTGCGCTCGTGCACGACAATTGCAGTTTTATCTTTTTAGTTTGCTTTTTTGATTGATTTTTGAGTGGTTTAATTTAGTTCTTTCATTGTACCGATTGGACATTAAAGTAGAGCTTACAATTTGGACAATAAAGTCTTGAAACATGTTAGAAGGTATAGCAAAACTGAAGTAATTGAAGAAAGAAAGAGAAGGGCAGAAGAAGAGAGGTTAAGACAAGAATTAGCTCCATGATCAGATGCTCTGCCTCTGCCTGACATGTTTGATAGTGGAAGGGCCAAATGACTTGACTGACTGCATTCGCCATACCACTGTCCAGGAAGGCGAAGCTCGAGGCATCTAGCAACAAATTGGTGCGAACATGTGTTTGCAGAAACATTATCCAGTCTTGACCAAACCAAGGAACTAGAGCAACTGCATTTGTAGTGACCAAACCACTACTAGCGCCATGGTTATTAAACTCCTGATCCTGCTGTTACGATCCTAATTCAAAATTTATGAATTCGATCACGACACTAGTAGGATCATTAGAGTTTGTAGATTATAGTTAGATCACTAGAAGATTAAAGATTTAAATACATAGTATTTGAACCAAGAGATATCCTAATAATTTGAAATTAAAATTTTTTTTTATCTGATGAGTTTGTATCATCTACACTTGGCTAAAGTTGAATCAATTTTGGAGTGACTTGAACTTTTGTATTATTGATTGTTCGAATTAGATAAACAGATTGATGGAAGGACAAAAAATGAAAGACAAAAGAAATATCATGTTAAAAGGAAAGTCAAAATGAAAAACAAAAGAAATATGGATTAATGAAAGATCTACGTCCCAAAAGAACGCACCAAGTAAAAAGATGAAACGGGAGAAGTACTTTGTCATGGTAGATGGCAAAAGATTCTTTTATGGAGTGAGAATTTAGAAGTTGTAAGCACGAAGATTTTTAGAAGTTATGTGATGTTTAGCTGTTTAATTTGATATATAATTGGGTGGTGAGGAATTTATAATCGTAAAGAAGTAGTTGTGTAGTTTAAAGAGTTGGAGTATATCGACAATTAAGCAGTTAAGATTTAGTTGTATACATGATTATTGGTTAATAGTTAATTCGAAGGATAAAATTGAAATCACAAAAGATGGCACTAAATTGTTTACACCAAACCAAACTCCCGCTCTTGTTTTATTATTGTAGAGATGTGATGATAGAATTAAAAATCTTAGTTGAAGAAATTTATTTTTTTGATGCATTTTTCATATCTATTTCTATGTGTTCATGAATTATAAGCATACAATTGAATGAAATGTTGGTTGTTTGCATTTGTAGTAGGATTGTACGATTTTATGATTCCACTAACAATTGGATCATATGACTTCTAAATGTTCCAAGGAATTATATCGATTTTAAAAAAAAAAAAAAGGCTTGACTTTGCAGTGTTGTCACCTGACCAATACAGAGTTTTGTTGCCATTATTTCAATTGACTAATGGAAAATGTTTCCTTAGTAAATGTTTGGAAGGTGCTTCGTTGAAAAATATTTTCTATTCAAAGCATTGGACTTTAATTTAGACAAATTTTGATGTCCATTTTGTAATTAACACAAATTTCAGGGACAACAAATGTGATTAACTCAAAGTGTGCCAGGGTGACAGAGAGATTAAGCTCGAGCATAAATGTCATTTGGCTTGAACTTAATAGATTTCCATTTACTCCCAATACTACTGGTAATTTCATTAAAGGACTTTATTTATGCTTAATCCATCACATAGATTGCCAGAGCTATTAGAATTATATGTGAAAATAAAACTTTTTTCATTCTTTGGCTTCCGCAAACAATAGTTGAATTGCCAAAAAATGGTAAAACAAAACAAGCATGATTAAATTACAATTAGAAAAAAATCAAACCATATCTTTTTGAGCATCCACAGGCTACTACAATGAACACCTGTCTTAATTGCATCCACAAATTGTTGTGGAATATGCCAAGAATACCCAAAGAAACTACAAAATCCAATCACGATTGCCATGGTTGTCTCTGTTTTTTTTTTTTTTTAAATAATTTCTAGAATAACACTTTAATGCTTTGTGCAATATAACATATGTGAGATTAAAAAATGATTGAAAATTCTGAAAATATAATTTTAAAGACTTATTTAGAAAAAATTCTGACAACGTTTTCCGCAAATCACTTATCCAAGCAAAATCACTAAATTTTCTAATTGATATAAAATGTGGACACGAACATTGCACTAGTTAGGTTCGGGGAACACTCATATCTCTATTTTTTCTCCAATTCTGTCAAAGGTCCTACGTTACTGATTTTTTGTAAAGATAGGGGACTAATTAATATTTGATGATAGATGAAGGATCACATTGCTAAGAATGGAGTTAAAAAATATATAATTTTACTAAAACTAGTAGTACATTTATACCCTCAAGGAAAATGAATTGCTCAAGCAATCCTGTTTTAGCTCTTTGCCTTTCCCCTCAAGGAAAAGTAGTGCCTTTCCCCTCAAGGAAAAGTAGTGGGAACATGCCTTTTCCCGAGGAATAGTGGAAGATTATCAAACAAAGAAAGGGAAGATGTAGCTAGCAAGAAAATAAAAGGTATATTTGATATCAAAGGAAACTCAAAATGTATAAAACCCTGATGAAAAATGGATGTATAAATCCATAGATTATCTGACTTGCTGTATATTCAATTGATCATAAAAGTCTTTAGAAACCACCAAATCCATACAGATACATATTTATATATATTTAAAAAAGAAAACAAATCCAAAATCTTGAATTTACTCGAAGGATGGAGGCTGCTGCACAAGCAGTTATCAAGGATGAAGAATTTGCACCATTAGTTGAAACTGTGAAGGATAAAGATTATAGTACCATTCTTCTCCATTTACCTGGTATACTCCTTATTCTCTTAGATTCATTATTTTCTTTCTTTATTTTTGGCTGACTATCCTTTTTATTTCTTTTTTTTTTTTTTTATCAACCTTAATCTCTCACATGTATTCAATTTGATCTTCCAACACATTTCTCTTGTATATAAGAAGATTGATACCATTTTCCTGTTTGAAGCAAACAAATTAATTCAATGAAACCTTGAATGCAAAGTATATTTTGCCTTAATTTCCTTTGATGAGTATTCTTTTCGGATATTATTTTGGGCCAAACAATCAGTAAAGTTTTTACATGTATTATGGAACATTTGCTGTCCCTTAAGTATGATCTTTTCTTGGAATCTGAGGATCATCCAATAATAGCACCCGGATAAATCGCATGCTTTCCTCCTGTGTCCATTCTAGTCTGATTCATGGAGGGTTCACAAGCACTTTTAAGTCTTGAAATCTTACAAACAGAATTCTGCAGATTTTAGAAGGGAGAAACTAAACGTCCAGCTGACCGCAGGCGCAAAGTTGAGGGTCAGTGGAGAGAGAGAGGCTGAAAACAATAAAGTTATCCGCTTCCAGAAAGAATTTCGTATTTCATCTGATATTAACACTAAAAAAATTGCTGCCAAGTTTGACGGAGGCATATTGTACGTTAGACTACCAAAACTCATCGCTCCAGGAGGCAAGCAAGATAGCAAATTGACTATCCCTGAACGTCCCACACCTCAGAAGCCTGCAGATCATAAGCCTGAATCTTTGAGGCCTACAGATGAGTCACGAGGATCCCAGAAGCCTGCAGATCATAAGCCTGAATCTTTGAGACCTACAGATGAGTCACGAGGATCCCAGAAGCCTGCAGATGAGCCACAACAATCCCAGAAACCTGCAGATAAGTCTGACATTTCGAGGCCTACAGATGAGTCAACAGTATCCCAGAAGCCTGCAGATGAGCCACAACAATCCCAGAAACCTGCAGATAAGTCTGACATTTCGAGGCCTACAGATGAGTCAACAGTATCCCAGAAGCCTGCAGATGAGCCACGGCAATTCCAGAAGCCTGAGGATGAGGCACGACCTCAGGAGACTGTTCAGCAGAAAACTGCAGACAAAACCAGTCCAATAGATGGTCCATCTAAGCAGACTGATGTTCAAGATGTTACTCAGAAGAAGCCAGAGAAAGAAGAAGCAAAGGCTGCAGATATGAAGGACAAAGGAACTAGTGAAACTGTGGACGGAAGTGGAAAAACAAGTGTAGATAACTACAACCAATCTGCAGTTGATCCGGCAGCAAAACTGAAGATGTCAAGGAGAGCAATGGATGTGGCTGTGGTTGTTCTATTGGCTGTTGTAATTGGCCTATACATCATTAATTGCCTCAGGTGTTTCAGGAGGACAACTGAAGACTAAGGCTAATATATTTGCTGTATCGTGATTTGCTCTTGTACTTGTGTTTGTATAATTCTGGATCAATACCTGTATTTTTCTGACCCTAGAAATGAATAAAAGATTCTAGAATTGCATTTCATTGATTACTACCTGCAGTAACATCATTTTTTTTAGTTTGTTTATGTTATTTTTTCTTGGGGGGGTTAATTTAGTTCTTTCAAACGTCAAAGTAGAAGGCTTAGAAGTTATTGGACAAGAGAATCTTTGAAACGTGTTGTGTCAAGAAAGAGTAGCAAAACTGAAAGAAATTATAGAAAGAAAAAGGAAGGGGAGAAGAAGAGAGCCTAAGACAAGAATTAGTTCCAAAATCAGATGACATTGCAATCCTGGTTGTGGATGCAGGGGTTGGAGCCGCAAATCACTCCATCTTGTGAAGATCTGAGGCTGAAAAAGCTTTTTTAAGAGAAATTCATTGGGTGCTTTATAGAGCAAGTATTATTGTTGCCTTTTTCTTAAACCTTTAACCTGCATCTTCTCTTATTCATCTCCAGATGCTTCAACCAAAGCTAAAATTAATTATAATGTTAAAATTGTGTTTAGGACATAATTAGTTATTCTATGAATGAATTTTATTTTTGTTTCCATTAATGTCTAATTGTGTGAAATGCACTTATATGCATATAATTAGGAGCAGATTGTTTAATTGCATGAAAAATATTGATATGATAAGATTATAATGGTTATTTTATAGGGCCGAGGTAGGTAAATATAATATTGAAAATCTCAATAGTACTAGGTGAAATTGTCATGAACTTGGAGGGAGGTTACTGAAACTATCCCTTTCTTTTAATCGCGTCCCCATGCAGTCGCTGCTGACAGTTTTGTAATTTTACTTTTCACTTGCAACGCTCCCACGTGAAAAAAAGAGGCAATAGACAGTTAAAATCTTAATAAATTTAAACAGAATAAAGTTGTTATTTTGATGTACAAATCTTCCATGGGGAGTTGTTTCATAACTAGATTACGAAACAAAAAAAAAATTAAATTGAACTTTCTTGTAATAGGATTAGCCAAAAAAAATCATTAAATTCTGAGATTTTAAGGACAATAAATGACCCAAATCACTTGAATATTCGATAATCAGTTTAGAAATAAGCACCCTAAGGTGGAAAACCTTAGGCCATCATGGGAGAACTAGCTAAAATTAGTGAAAAGATTGGTCCATATGATACAAAACTCCCAAGTCATAATTTATTTATAGAATATAATTGAGATTTTAAAGTTATCTTCTTCTTTTTTTTTTTTGATAAAAATATCATATTTCATTAAAATCTGTACTAATGGCAGAAATTACATCATCAAACATACACAGATATCAAAGAACAGATATAAAGAAATAGAGCAAAGCTCTTCTCCAATTCTCGTCCCAATCAAAGAAATTAAACTTTGGTGTCAATGTGGATTAACTAGGAATTAGAATAAATGTCCTGTAAAAAAAAAAATCCATCTAAGAATGAGTACCTTATCAAACATAAATGGTGATATTATTCATCTATATATTGACATGAACAGAAAATGAGAAGTGTTTCAACAATCGAACCATTTAAACCTAATAACGGATTATATAATTGGTGCATCAGACCTTTCACATAGAAACATCAAAATTTACATAGAAAAAAGAAAAGGAATTAACACTTGAATACATAGAAACATCAACCCTAGGCAACCTGCCTTAAAACTCTCCAAAAACCCTGGAAATTTAAGCAGGAAAAAACCAAAAGGGAAGTGAATTAACACACTTAATCCTTAAAACATTTATAGGGCAACTTCTCCCATAGCCTCTCCCAAAAAGAAAGCATAATATATGTTCCCTTTTCTAAAGATTGAACATGACCTTGATAGCGTTACTGCCACGAGCACTTGTCTCAAATGCATCTACAACCTCCTCCTGAGAGAAGCCATACCTATGGGTTATCAATGGCTTCACATCAATTTTGCCACTGCTCAAAAACTCAAGGCATTGAGGCCATGTGTTCTTGTAGCGGAATACCCCAAGAATATCAACTTCCCTATTAATTATCAACATAGAAAAACCCCATCAATCGAGTTGTTTCAAAACATTTGCAGGAAAAAAAAAATAATATTCCAGATGCAAAGTTGATAGAGAAAGTTACACAAAAGTAACTTTGGAAAACATATTCGAAATATTCCAATACAAACATTTTTCCAAAAGAACACTTATCCAAATAAACACCAACCTTGCTGCAGCTGGGGTGAGGGGAATAGTCATATCACAGTGTCCCATTCCCACAAGGCAAACTTTGCCACCACTTCTCGTGGCAGATAGAGCTGTGCTCATAGTTTTGCTGAAACCAACACAATCTAGGGTTACATCGATGCCAACTCCTCCCACTGCCTTTTGGATTTGTTCCACCTCTTTCTCAATATCCTTCCATATTGCCCAAAAAAAAAAGGATAAAAAAAATTGCATTAAGACATAATTAAATTGGATTAATCTTGTATATTGGTTGGATATAGAAGCATGTCATCTAATCCCAAATTGAATTTGAACTTTGATTTTATATAAGTGGCATGCATCCACACTGATTGAAAAATATACTGTCAGTCTATGCAAGATTTATTGTAACGTGGGACAAACCTCAGTTTTGGTTGAAACTTGTACCGTCGCAAATGCTCCAACCTCTTTTGCGACGGACAGACGGTTGCGATCAACATCAACAACGACAATTCTTGGAGCACCAAATGCACGAGCAGCTAGCAAAGAGACGAGGCCAATTGGTCCTGCCCCCATCACCAAAACATTCGTCTCAGGGCCAATCTGAGCACGACGGCAAGCGTACACACCCACACTTAATGGTTCACACATGGCCCCTTCCTCCAAGCTCACATTGTCCGGCAACTTGAAACACAAATCCGCCGGATGCACAATCTATTGGGAGAAAGAAAATGTTGCAAAAATCTTTAGTGTTCAACAAGACAAGGCTGGAAATCAAATAGGATATATTACCAAGTATTTTCAACAGGCAGATACCTTATTGGCAAGAGAGCCATGGATTGGTGGGGTGGCGAAAAATTTCATATCAGGGCAAAGGTTGTACCGGCCTTCTTTGCAACGATCACATCGCCAACAACCAGTTCCGGGTTCGAGTGCAACGCGGTCGCCGGGGGCTAGTGTTGTCACCTCCGATCCAACTTCATCTATGATTCCAGCGCTCTCATGACCAATTACCATTGGTTCTTTCACAAGAAAGTGCCCACAACTCATAGTCTAGGAATATATTTTCGTTATAAGCATTAAGATTAATTTTTTCTACATTGACAACAGTATTAAAAATTTCTATATAATCAAATGTCAGACAACTTAAAATTAATCGTTGCATATGAAATACAACAAGGATTTGTGTATTGCTACAATGGGATCAGTGACCAAAAGCTCCCAACAAATAATTTCATAAGTTTTAAAGCACACGAAATAAATTGGTGACTGGACAATTCCTCTTATATAAGGGATGTCAGCCCTTTAATTTTATTGATAAATGTTTATACAAATAGAAAAAAAAAAAGAGAAAAGAGAAAGTTATAGTACCATAGTTAAGGGGGTTTTACCTTGAGATAATGAACATCACTCCCACATATACCAACAGCTTTCATACTGACCCTAACATCACGAGGACCTAGAACAAAATTTTTAAAAAAAATAAATTAGCCAAAAAAAAAATGAAACAATGCATGTTCACAAAAAAGAAAGGAATAATAGACTGGAAAAAAAAAACATTTCAATATCTTCACCTAATAGAATTTGGGAAGGACTTGCTAAAATACTGTCATGAACAGATTCTCATGGGAAAGTACTAATTAACAATAATTCATCTGGTAAATTAGGAAAGAACAGATTCAAAAGAACACAAATTAAAAGTATCACCAAATTGAAAAAAAAAACAAAGAGATGAATTACCAAGGGCAGGGAGTTTGTATGGCAGGACTCTGAGATCATTAACACCATATAGCCAAGCAGCCATGTTTTCTTCACAGCTACCCATATTGATCTTCTTGATTTTTTTTTCCTCCTTTTTTCGTGTCTAAAAAGCTTTAGATTTTGGAAGCTAGGAAAGTAGGAATTATGCAAGTAATTGAGAATAATAAATGCTTGGGTTACAACATATTTATATATGTTTTGAATAATCTTATCCGGAATCCTATCGTACTTTTAAATGGATAAATTTACTTTACCTTTATTCTAAAGTAATCTACTTTTTGCTTTACATTTTTATCTTTTGCTCGTCATCTCATATTTATATAGATGATTGAGGTGCCCTTTTTTCCTTTTCTTTTCTTTTCTCTTCCTTTTCGAATCCAATTTATTCTCCAAATAAAGCTGGATTCCGATTCAAACTATATCAATTTCTCCTCGTCTTGAAAAAGAAAAAAATAATAATTTCTTCTACCAAACTTATCGTACTGCTGCAAATGGGGCACGTCAACTAACGGCTCGGTCATATGATTTCCCGTCACCATTTTTTTAAAGTTGGATTCTACCTCTGTGCATGAAGGCACAAGATAAAAGATTGACCCCATGTTGTTTCATCTTATAGAGTACATAATTTAATTTCAACCTTTAAATTTAATTTCTACACGTGACATATATCTAAAATTGATAGTGTAAAAAAAAAATTCTACACTAATAGTATATAAAAATTTAATTTTTTATCTTATAATCCTCGTCATCTCTTTTACACGATGAAGTGATGTTCCAAATTCAACTCGCATCATGTATATATATATATATATATATATATATATATATATATATATATCTTTCCTACTTAGCTTAATGAAAAAGTATGTAGTTACAACGTACTCTAAAAATAAATGCCAGCTTGCTAATCTTTTCATCTTTCTCTTACTATCCACTAATCCAAGTAGCTTTTCCATAAACTCCTTCACTCGGCCTGTCTTTCAAGTTTCAAACAACAACCTAACAAATTCTCTATTTCAAAATTTCAAAATTTATAATCTGGATTATCCTTATCATATACGTCTTCCTTATCCTATAAGTTTGTTTAGTTGATTACCCTTATTTTCTCATTCTAGATTTGTTGTATTATTATTTTTTCAATTATCAATAAGCTTCTTGAAACAAAATTCACTAGATTTGTTGTATTATTATTTTTTCAATTATCAATAAGCTTCTTGAAACAAAATTCTTACTCGTGCTTATTTGACGCTTTCTCATCTTCAACAAGTTACAACTATGTAAACCTCTTGTCTTCATCGGTCAAAATCTATTTTTTCAAATCAAAATTTCAATATAAAGGTATCCTTTTCATCTTAAGTTCTATTTATGTGCTTTGATTATACAATCATCCTTATTAGTTGTCACAGATTGCATTGCCAATATATAAGAAGGTTTTATTTATTATATTCTGCATAACTGTGTTACAGATTTTCTTAATGGTACTGGCTTTTTTACCATATCAATTTCATAATTTCTTCGTTGTTCTAGGTTTTCCAAATTTTGATAATTGATGTCTTTTTTTTTTTTAACTTTTGAGCTTTTTTTTTGGTTAAATTGACACAAATATCATCGATTGTTTTGCATATATGAAGCTGTTAAGGGATGATAATTTTGTGCACTTTGTTAACCCTTCTTTGCGAGGAGAATAGTTGTACACAAGAAGTCTACATTCATGATTTGATCTATTATATGGTATGGTGCATCCTTTTTTGTTAGCTTTTGTGGATTCACTGTTGTCACTCCTTACAAAAATATTATTAACTTACTTTTAGTTCTGATCTTTTTCTTTAAAAAAATTTGGGTTGCAGACTAACAGATTCCCAGTGAATGGCTCTGACTTTATATGATGATTTACTCTTCCTTTCATCTCCCAAAGGATGGGGGGCATGTCAAGGACCATTGTTTATTTTTATTTTCTGCAAACTTTACCTAAGTCTGCACAAAAGATATGTCATGTTGATGCAAAGGCATAAAGCTGTTCCCTAACTGCAAGAAGTTCAAGAGCATCTTGGTTTTGGCAAATGCACAATATATCAGAAAATGCACTTAATGTATATCCTCTCTGCAACTTGGGCCTATCTTAGTCTCATCCATCTAAGCAAATATCCATTGTTCTAAAACCTGCAGTTAGTTTCACTTGAATAATTAGATAGTAACAGAAATTAATGATACCAAGGTATATAAACTCTCATAATAGGAAGTAATGGCTATGCATCTTTTTCATTGGGGAACTCCAAGTTCACAACTGCCCACTTGCCCTCAGCAATTGGTAGTGCTACATTGCCCTTGGAAAAGATCATCTCTGGAATGCATGTATACACTCTGACCCTGTTACATAGCAGGTATGTATTGATATCTTCTGTGGTCTTCTTGCTTAAAGAATCTGCAGTTAGCACGAAGCAAATGTAAGAAGGCATGATAGTATTTTAAGACAATTGGTTCTTAAGTAGCACACTTAAGTCAGGATTCGGAGAACATCTGATCAATTTTGTTATCATGTATAATATTGGACCGGCAATGACCTCCTGGTCATGATTGCTGGAATCAGTCTCTTCATCTTCATCTGCTAGATAGTGAAATTATCCATTATCTCATCCAACCTTAATCTTAAAATGAAATATGAAAGAGCAAGAGTTTGTGAAATAAACAGGTACGAAACCAGTGAAATTAGATTACAAATGATTTAACCTTTGCTTTCATCAGCCTGAGTTCCAGGATTGGCGTTCCTTTGCTGATCACCAATGGTGAGTGAGTCCAAGCTAGGAGCAACTTCAAGAATGTCATCCTTTGAGGAAATAGATGTATTGTCATCCATCAAACAGGATTTTCCTGAATCAGGGAAGAGTTAATCAGTCAAGAAAGCACAAGGAATGCTGTAAATCCAAGATAAACAAATATCAGAGTTGAATTACCTTGAAGTGCGTCTCCTGGTTTTCCTTATGTATTCAACCAGTTCAATATTTGACAGGACTTCATAAGGTATATATATGTATATCGTCTATAAACCTAGGTTCAAGCAAAAGATTATAACAATAAAACACTGTAACTTAAGCTTGTAAATACAATGTAGTTGAGATTCCCAATTCCCATTCAGCAGAAGTCATGTGGTAATATGCCACTAAAAGTCTTCATTAGTTATATCGTTAAGCTTGTGAGAGAAGTAGAACATATTAACAAAAATTCTTACACAAGGATATAGTATATGTTAGCTGATCTTTATACCCTCCCCCCTCCCCCCCCCCCCACACACACCCCCTCTCCCCCCCTTCTCAAAAAAAAAAAAAAAAAAACAACAGAGGCTGCTTAGTTTTACTTGAATTTATAAAGTAGTTATGATTCTTAGTTTGCCAAAAGTTCCATATGTTGTAACAAGCAAGAGAACTAATGTTGCAGGAGTCACTTACCCAGCATTAAAGCAGTGTGTGCAATCTTTGCAGCACTAAACTCTGCCAGCTTCTTGGACTTCTCCTGATTCCCATGGAAAATTTCTCCTTCTACTTCCACAGTTGAGAAGAATGTTGACTTATGATCCTCACCAGATTTCATAGTTTTGTATTTTGGCAAGAAAAACCCATTCTCCTGAGCAAATTCTTGCAGCAGATTCTTGTACATATTATCATCACTCTTCATAAATACAAAGCAAAAATGTTAACACAGATGCGAACAGATAGGACTAAGGACAATAGGATAATGATGTAATACATTTCTTTATGGCCACCTCTCCTACTACATATTTTAACTGACTGTCCCTTTAGAGAGAATTAGATGGTAGAATTGATAATCCAATGATAACTCACCTTGCGAAAGGCATCCATTGTCAGCGATGTTAGTGCAGCCTGTGCAGCAGCGTCCTCTGCATCTTTTGTAGTCTCATAGAATCCTGGACTTTCGAAGATATCTTCACCAACTAAAACTTTCGCTGTGAAGCAAAGAGCATCAGATTGCTCCACTCTCTTAGTACGGTATAAGGGCAAATCAAGTTTCTTTGTCTGAGCATACTTCTGCAGCTTCCTCTTGTAATTTTGTTGCACTTCTGCAAGCATGAAGCACCAATGAGCTTGCAGGTGAGCACTTTGCAGTGGCTGGGCAGAGATGAAATTTAACTTCAAGAAAGCTGTCTAAAAACAGCAGAATACAACATACTAATTTTCAAACATATGAAAGAACAATTTCTGGGGACTATAGAGTGCATTCTAGTTGACCACATCCTAATTATATAGATGAAAGGATCATTTCATGCAAAGCGAATGTAAACTTCTCATCATAGTTTTGACTATGGAATTAAAAAAAAAATCAAGCTGTTTCCACCAAAGATACCATAAAAGTAAGAAGATAATCGGTAAGGACCTCCAAAAGTTGGATGAAAAAGTGCGGAAAGATATGTAAAATGCAAGGTGGGACAAAGGTCACAGACTTCCTTACCATCTTCGCTGCTATTTATAGCCCCATCCTTCAGTGCTTGTTCGATGTCTGGACCTGCATTAGTTGATTTATCATCCACCATTACTAAAATGTTAACAACATTGGACTGGTACAAATTTAGAAAATAAATCAAGTCATTCACATGGATATGAAGCTAAGAAAGGGATTAGAATGCCAGGAAACGAAAGTAAAAAAGGAACAACGAAGGCAGGCAAGTCAGAGAAGTGTCTGAGGCAAGGCAAAGGAGATGAATTTTCCTACCAGCTTCATTGCTCAAAGCATTTGAATTAATATCTCTGCCCTTCAACCTTCGTTCAGTCTTTGATCCTTCAACAATAGCTTCTTCATCTGCATTTCATGAAATGTGAAAAACCTTAAAGATGCACAAAAAAGGCTACAGCTTAGCGTATTGCTGTGGCTAATAGTCAGAAATATTTTAGGCAAAACTTTTTGGAAATTTCAACTTGAAAGATGGTCTACTCCAAGATATTATACATTAGATATTCTCTCCATTTAAATATTAGGCTTTCAATTAGCAATAACATAGCTCAGAAATCAAGTTTTGCGGGTTTATTTTCTGTTAGTAGCACATTTCTAATTATACACAGACTTATTGGGACTTAAACCACAATTGATCCACGTTAGTTAGACTTCTTTACGTGTTTAATCCTGACTTTCACCAAAGTTTCATGACTTGAAATTTTTTTTTTTAAAAAAAGTTGTCTATACGAAATGATACTTAAAGGAAGTCACATAATTTGATTTTACATGAAGCTCTGTTGAAACAGAGTCCTAGCACATAATTCATAGCAATTTGGATGAAAAAACTTTTAATACTGAAAATCTCTGAGCTCAATTGATTGTACTAGTAGCAAAAAATTGTTTCATCTAATTGCATCTTAAATTTAATGTCCTTTAGCCCTGAAATTTCAATGTCAAAATCTGACATATTGTATTCTGTCACAACTATTTCACATTGAATGATAAAACAAAACAGGAAACAAATTCGCACAAAACTCAAGAAGAATCTAAAATTTTCTTGACAAGTCACCAGAAGTGAAGTGGAGGAAAGCCAATTTAGCAGCCTCATTATGTGCTTCTTTCAAGGACTTAGAAATGCTAGGTGAATCAAAGTTGATGCCATTAACAACAACTGAAGCTTTGAATTATGGGCTATGCTCTGCTCCATCCTTGATGCATGAATATATTGGCAGAGCCCATTTTTTCTGGTGACACAATTCTTGCAACTTTGACTTGAACATTTTCTCCACCTTGATTTTCTCTCTTCTTCTAGTTTAATTAATGTAAAAATTGTTTATTTTTGTGAAGAAAACAAAAGGGTAGACATTTACTTGCATACAAGGAAAAAGATCAATAGTGTTATTTAATAGTTTACTCCTAGCCCTTGATATCAAAATTTACCAACAAGTGGTGTTCTTTTACATTGCATACATTTTTGTGTGAGGTGTCATTGGAGAGAGAAGAGAATAATGTGAATTTGCATGTTGTACTTGTCACTGCAAGACATATTCAATTCTCATTTCTGCTTATAAAATGTTTCAGATTGTATGTAAAAGTTTTGCCATTTTAGGTGCAGAAAAATTCTCAAAAATTGATAAACAAAATATTTATTGGTCATTGATGGCGGCCCCTCAAATTCTCCACCTATGTTTTTCAAGGAAATCCAATCAACCCCAAGTTTCCAATGCATGAATTGCTGGAAAATGTGTTGGATTCTGGGCATTGAGGAATACACCAGATAAGATGTATGTCTGATAGGTTTAAGAATGATAGCCAAGAAATTTCTCTTTCGATCAAATTTCAAAGAGGTCAACCGATTCAAGAAAATGTATACTGGAATGAGACCAATACATGATTTCTGATTTCAAGTACTGAGGTCGCTATAATGCCAATAAGGGAGTAAAAAATTAAAGTTTCTCAAAAATCTTGTAGGGAGGAAAAAGCGCAACCTCCAGTTCTTTGAACCTTTGGTCGAGTCTTCTACCATTTCGCACGCAGAAGCCAGAGAGAGAGAAAATCAATATTCCTGCTTCGTTGACTGAAGCTCCAAGAAGATACTTCATTTCATCATATGCATCTCATCAAACTTCCCTGGCTGTTTCTTCAAAATGGTTCTCAAGAATCTAAGTGCATACATTGTGTAGTAATTTATTCCAGTTAGTGCATGATAGCCGGAGCTGAGTATCTGTATATATCAAAGATATTTATACAATATGTCCAACACCACTTGTTCAAGGGGATTTCTCAAAAGTCTAAAGCATATTGATTCAACTCTACTTCATACAAGCTTGAACAGAAATGCTGCTAATATTTTCTAACTTTTGATCATTTTAACATGACATATTAACTTCTCTTCCAGCCTTACATATCAGAAAAGTCTACATTGCTGAGGATGAAGTCAATTGTAGATGTGAAATGTCCAAAAGATGTTCTCTTATAAATCCGAAAAGATACAAAAATGGTAAACAGTTAGTTCAAACTAGATGACTACCTGAAGTTCGCAAAATGTTCTTTACTATAACTAGCAGTTGAACTTCATGACCGTTCTGACTCTGTAGTCCATGCAGTGAAACATGCTCTAAATAAACATGGATATATTGGACATTCAACATCAATGGCAGCAGGAGAGGGTTCTTTTGCTCTGACTGGGGATATAGCAACCACAGATGTTACTGATGTGCATAATCTGGATAGAAAACCAGGATTAGACATTCATGTTGAGAAAGATACATCAGGAAAGGTTGATGTTCATTTAAGTAGGAAACACAATTACGAGGGCATAGTACAACTGAATGCTGTTATGGATAATTTACAGCCTCAGCTGGATAGCCAGTACCTATGACCAAAGAATTAGTCCCGAACATGTCTGAAACAAGATAATGGTCTGGTGTCAAGTTCTCAGAAGTTGTCTCATTTGAACAGGATAAATTGAAATTGACAGGATTTCTTGAGCAGCAAGAGAATAAAACTGATGACTAGTTGACCAACCCCAAATTCAACTGTTGAAATGAGTCCAAAGTCTACTCTACCTAATAATTAGCAAAAGGTCAGCAGACTAGCAGATATTTTAGAAGTTTACAGATCATGCAACAATTGCTGAAGCAAAGATAGGACCTTTTCTGTTTACCTTCTAATGTTTAAACAAAAGTTGATTTCCTGTAATCCACTTCTCTTTGAAAAACAGAGAACCGGTAATCCTATTCACAAGGGGGGAGGGATGGGTCGGGTAGTTCAGAGGGAAGGAGTGTTAAGTGGCAGGTCTTGGGTTCGAACCCTCCCACTTACACTTTTGAAAAAAAAAAGGTAATCCTATTCGCAAATATTGCAAGGGCATCAACATGTAAAAAAAACCTGGATGGAGCCATCAAATTCTAATTCCCATACCCTCCAGAAACACCCAGTTAAGAAACTACGTTCCAGTTAGAGATAAAGAGACAAAACAACAAACATAATTGTCAATAGCAGGTTACAACCCTAATGTAGTTCAGTGCTATAGTGTACAGCGTAACGACTTTTGAATAGCACTCAGTATGTGTGTGATAGCGGATACCGCTGAATAGCATGCTTTTCTAAAGTCTTGTAGATTTGTAATCTGGGCTATTTGACTATTGTGGATCTTAGCCTAAAAAATTAAACCAACTGGTTGTACATCTTAATTTGTAACTCATGCAACCCTATTACATAAAATCATTACATTTCTAGACTAAAAGAAGGGGCACATGTGTTTCAAATTCAAGGACAAAAGCAGTGATCTTAACCCTCCCCCCCCCCCCCCCCAAAAAAAAGAAAAAAAGAATCTCTGTTATGTAGCTAATATATCTCTTCCTTCTCTTCTTCTTCAATACCACCTGTTTGCCTCATTGATGAAGTGGATGAACTTTGATACTATTGATGATGAAAAGGAAGCAGAGTATGTTAATAAATCCAATGATAAGACAACTTTATAGGAGATGGATGAAATGACTAGTACTCTACTCTAGGGTGCTGCTTATTTTGAAATGATTCTAATGTATTTGACTACATTTGTATTCGATCTTTTTCACTCTGCTTTGTGCTTAAGAACATTGAAAAATTAATCAGTAAAAATGAGTGCTTTTACTGCAGAATTACTATATATAGGACTAATTGAGATTTAGAGCATTAAGTGTGCTTCCCTTCAATATAGGGTGCTGTGCGTTATGCACCATGAACCACAGCTCCATGGGGACCCTATAGGCAATTGACAAATATGCTAGGAAGTGCTTCAAATATTTCATTTCTGCTCTTTTTTTTTTTTCTTTTTTTAGTTCTTTAAAGTACATTTCTTTGACTTCTTAACAAGGCACTTTGTGCATGAACTATAAAAGAGAGCACAGGAGATATACATTTGAATAAAATGTATTAACATTTGACTGAAAAAGAAGAGTCGTGTTTAAAAAGTTAAATTATTTGTCAAAACAAATAAAAAGAAGACTACAAAATCAAGCAAGGATCTACAGCATGACATCATGAAACGGAAAAGTATATGTGAATGTGTGTGTGTGTGTGTGTGAAGCACAATATAAAACATTTCCTGAAATGAGTTTTGTAAATGCAATGATGATAATGTTCAAAAATTTCAGGTAAAATACATATTAGCTAGAGATCAAAGAATTCAATTCTTCTCTGTTAGACACAATAGAAGTATAAAACAAAGCAGAACAAGAAATTCCAATTGCTGTAAGCTCTATTGCTGGAATAAAAGGATATTAGTGAATCTAATCCTGGATTAGTACCTTATTTCTCAGCAATATACATATTGAATTGGTCTGGTTTCATGTCATAAATACTGAAGCTAGGTCACAAACATTCCGTGAATAATGTAAGTGCAGATTACTAAGGGTTCAGCTAAAAAGATAATATAGCAGATGAAAATTAGAGAAGCCTTTCTTACCTTTTTTTCCCCCTTACAGTCCCTTTGAACTCCATCAACGGCATCAGGGAGAAATTAAGCTTTCAACATACACATCTGCTCCGTAAAGACCTTCTGAGTTACTAAACTGAGGATAATGGTGTGAATTCTGATTTGGATCATAAACTCCTAACTTCAGATATGACCAATTCACGAACAGAAGTTGACCATCCTTTGATAAAATCAAAGGCTTTCTGAATAAACGACAACCAGGTCCCTGACAACCAGAAATCACAACCATTTTAGTCCAAGATCCTCTTACTCCATACTCCTTCATGACCCACAGTTCCACCTCATCCTGATTCCCTATGGAACAATGCAACAAAGAAAGGCATCCTCCTAGCGTTCCTAAGTTCCACTCATGACCGAAATTCTCATCTTCAGGCGTTTCTATCTGTCCATAAATGTCATCTGCCAAATCAAGACTAACAATTATTCGCTCAAAATTTGTACCATCAGTACCACGACTTAAAATCTCATATGCAATGAAGTGGAACTTCCCATTCAAAAAGTAACTTCCAGAACAGATGTCATCAATCAAACTGTACTTGAAATGCTCAATCTTCTTCCAAGAATCCGTCTTCCCACTATAAACCTTGGCCACAGTCTCATATTCTAGCCTATCATTGACAACACAGGAAAGTCCAAGTATCATGTAATCACCATTAGACTCATCATAACCAATCGCAAATGACAAGTCCTGAAAATTGATAGCTTTATGCTCCTCTTTCCAACCACAATGAGGCAATTTTCTAGATTTTCTTGTAGCTGGATTCCACAAAAACATATTTTCTGCAGCAATCGTGATTAAAACCAACCCATAACAAGAACCCAGAATCTTATATCTACACATGTCGTCGGAGACAATAGCGGGACTGATAATAAAATCGTAGGTTACCTGATCCTCATTTTTCTTGGATGATGCCCAGGAAAACGCAGTTTGAAAGGAACACTCAAACTTCTTGAGTCTGAGCCCTTTCCTCTTTTGCTCCTCATCATCCGTAACCGTAACCAAAATGAGCCTATGATGCTCATTTTCCTTGTTTTCAGCACATTTCTTGATATGGGATTTGATGAAATTGGGGTCGGACATCAAGGAATGCCAAGATTTTGAAACACAGCTGAACCTCATCAGGGATTTGACTGGAAGCCTTGTGAGTATATCAGCCATAATTTCATCAGGAAAAATACCATTAATTAGTTCGGGTTGGGACTGGAATTCCTTTCTCTTGTGTTGTGCTAATAACAATGGCTCCAAAGCTGAAAATTCAGCTTGGTTTGCAGAAGATTCAGCTTGGCCTTCGTGGGTTCTTTCTTGCATTTTTGGGGGTTTTGCTGCCGATGGCAGATTGGATTGGAAGAGAAACAACAGAGATGACCGGGGAGCGAGCAGCGTTTTGGGCTGTGGGAAGGTAAAGTGAAGATTTTGAACAAAAGTGAATTATCATAAGAACAGGAAAAAAAAAAAATTCTTTGTAGCAAATTAGCATAAATATGTGCTTTTCAGAACCCTCCGTTCTTTTTTTTTTTTTTTTTTTTTTGTGCACAAATTTTGCTGATGGCAATTTCATGATTTCTTAACCAATCTCAATCTTATTTAGGAAGAGCATTAATTAATTAATTGATCATAGAATCCTTACATTTGTCTTGTCTTGTCCTTTTCGTCTAGCTATGCTTAACGTTTGTAGTCTCATTTTGTGCATTACATTCATATGTATCACGGATTTCAATTCAAAATAATGGAGGGTAGAATGATATTATACTATCATCTAAAATCAATGTCAGGTATATGTTTACTTTTTTCCTTTTAATTTTATTCTTATAAGATTTAGGCAATTCACGAATTATTCGCGTAAAATCATTCGTGTTAAATTATATTGATAATTACCCATCATTTGTAAGTAAGTGCCATATGAACTACTAATCCGTATGTTTCATTTCTATTGTATACATTTTACATTCATAAAAACTCTCTAACAAATTATTATGCAAAGTGTAAAACTAATTCTTTTCCAGAATATTTGCAATTCCTTCTTTAATATCTCCCTCTTCATTCTAGATGGAACTTACTGAATACTATGAAAGATCAAGAACAACATGAAGAAACCTGCAAAATGTCCAAAAGATGTTCTGTAATAAATCATAAAAGATTTACCACAATGGCAAACATTGAGACGAACTGCATAACATCTTGCAGTTTGCAATACATTCTTACTCTGCAGTCTAAGAAAACCAGGTTTTACAAACAATCATATTGTTTGGATAGAGTATTATTTGAAATATTATTTGAAATAATTATTGTAACACTTTTTATGATGTGACGTGTGTAAAATAAAAAGGTGATTAAAAATATTAAAAAATGGGTTAAAAATGTGTTTATAATGCAAACAAAATATTATTCGAGATAATTTGATATCCAAATACTAGGTTTTCCGGTGTGAAGATTGATTCTGGATTTGGACCATTTATACGTCCAAATAAAAAGCCTCCAGTGATTAACATTTTTTTCTTGCAGACTTAAGCTCACCAAATTTAGATTAAACATTCACATAGGATGTGCTGCCATTAGAGCTGTTAATCGAGTCGAGTATTTGGCCGCTGAACTCAACTAGGTGGACGAGCTTTGAAATGTGTTCGGACTCGACTCGCCAAATGGAACATGTGGTTCGAGCTCGACTCGTTTATCACAAACGATCTGAGCTTGCATGAGCTCGAACTCGTGCAAATTAACCTCAATAAAAACTTATAATTTTCAATTTTTATACTTTTGAATTGTGAAATAATACATATACCCTTCCTTATTGAGGCTAATCGAACTATTCGGATAACAAACGAGTCGAGCTTACTCGACTTGTTAATTAAATGAGCATATCTCGAGCTCGAGCTTGACTCATTTACCACAATTAATAAGCGGAGCTCGAGCCTTATCGAGTCGAGCTCAATCGAGAGCTGCTCATTCCATTTAACAGCTCTAGCTGCCATTGAGTGGATTGCTTGACAACTATGAGGGAAGTACTCATTTAGACTTGTTAGAAAGCCTGAAGAGACGAGGAATGAATTTCCTTTCCCATAATTACTTTAACATGATATATCTGTAGCCTTGTAGATCAGAAATGTCCCATGTCATTAAAGCCCCTTTGATAAAATTGAAATATGAAAACTAAAATTTAAATCCATTTAATTATAAATCGTTAAATACTAAACTTGATATATTTGAATGTATATCACATTAAGTGATAAGTAAATTGCTTATCACTTATTTTTTTTATATCAAAATTTGTCTAAATAATTCAATGCAACTTAATTAATCTAAATGTTCTATTTTTTATTATCAAATATGTATAAATTTATTAATATCTGAATTCATTAAATTTAAATTTTGAATTAAATAATCAATTAAGGCCCAAGTAAATAGTCACTTGGACTACACTCACTATATCTCCAACACCCAATAAGTCATGATAGGCATTTTCGTTCTCATTTATATGTGAAAATTTCCTTTCACCATCAAGCTCATATTCATACATCACATTGAAATCTCTTGTTACAACTAATTAAATACATAATTATGATCTTCAACATTCATCATCTACTGCAGCATTAGCCTCAAGATTGACTCTTCAATCTTGATTTCCTCTTTTGAGCCACTATCTTCATTCAAAACGCCAAGATTGGAACCCTGACTAGCACTTCTATTACCATCATTCATGTTGAGCTCTTCATTCAAATTCACTGCACTCTCATCCAATACAATCAAAGAAGCAACACTAGTTTTTTTCATATGGATGATACCTTTGAATTTTCTATACACGAAAAACATCAAGCGCATATCTTCATCACCAGATACATCCAGCAAATGCGATGTACCAAGAAACTCACAATTAAGCTATACCATAATGGTCTCATTCCCAGGTACATCATGAAGTGCAGCCTCACAAGACATCATTCACAAGAGGGAGAAAAGAGTAGTCGTTAGGGTCCACATTCCCAATCATTGCATTTTCATTCTTGTAATGCAAAACAATGCCATAAGAAGGGTCTGCCATCTACAGAAAATGGAGAAAATAAAGTACAAATTATAACACAGAGAAAGAAAATAGGCTAACCAACGAAGAAAAAGTAATTACCAAAATGAATAGCAAAGTAAAGCTAATTAATGATCAGGATGTTATAATTCCCCCAAGGCAAACCACAAGCTTTTAACACATGATTCAACATATTCTACCAAAATTAGCCACATCATATGCAAATATTTTTACTTAAACAATTAGACATATATTAATTAGCAAGGATGGAAGCATGCACGTATCTAATCAATCAAACAAAATGCCATTATTAACAAACTATAAGTGTGAAACCAAGGCTTAAAATGTTAAGTTCTTTTCATAATACTGCTGTCATAGTGCAGTTTAACACCCCCAACATAGAGTAAATCTTGAGAGATGAAAAAGAAATTATGGAAAAAGAATGATGATGTTAGTTACAAAACCTGTGAAATGAATTTCTAACTAATTATGGGGGAAAAGAAAAAAAGAAGCAAAGCATTTGAGAGGGGAAAACTAATCATAAGATTAGAAAACAAAAGTACAAGAAGGTAGAGACAAGCATGCATACCAGTAATAAGTAAAGATAGAACAATATGAACAAATCAGATTGGATCAGAGAGAATTAAAAGAGCAAGTTTGGATGATAAGCTTTTGATTCACGAGCTCCATGTATAGTAGGTAAAAATATAAACGAGCAATTGCATTTACAGTAACTCTTGCACCTAGACATTCATACTAAATTGAATTGCATATGTTAAAAGTGGACTTCAATAAATTGATAGCTTCAACATCTTACCCCTCAGAATTCAAATGGGAATTACCATGAAAGTGGACTTCACAGATGAGCAAGGTTGGATTATTTAGTGTGAATGCACAAGATCAGCTTTCAAAGAGAGAGATTTTTAAGACATCCCTAGAAACAAAAATAATTAAAACTGTGCCGTAGTAAAAATACTTTATTGACTAATCAATTGACCAATTTTTAACGTTTTGTGAGTGGCACTTTGGTCAAAATATTGAAACACCCACAACAATATGGGTTAACTTTAAAGGTTAAGAGAGACTTCTCAAAAGAATAGTGACAAGTAAAAAGAATCCAGAAGGGGGATTCTCTGATTCACAAATATAACAGGGCCACCAAAATTGGTCGAGAAACTCTAAATGAAGTTATTGCATTCCTGATTGCAGCCTCGAAGCAAACACTTAATTACAAACTACCATGTCAATTAGAGATACCGATGATTAAGTAAGAAACACAGCTGTTGAACATGGGCTACATCCCCAATTAGCTCAGTGTTAGTATAGGGGCTTTCCAATAGTGCTCACTAAGTGCGTATAGTGCCTACCACTAAATAGCATGCCTTCCTAACGTTTTGGAAATGTCTAATCTGGGCAATTTGATTACCATGGATCTTTAACAATATCAACTGGCTGTACTTCTTTTGTTGTGACCCGTGAAACCCAAATACACATTTTATTACAATTCCAAAGAAAAAGAATGGGCAAATGTGCGGTGCATTATAGACAAAAACCAGAGTTGTTGATGTGAACGTAGGACCTGATGGTTCATGTTCAAGTCATACAGGGGATTGGTCCATTGGAGTTCTCAACAATATGGGTTAATTTTAAAGGTTAAGAGAGACTTCTCAAATCTAGATCCCTTCCAGCGTTTTAGTGTGTTTATGTTAGTTATTAAGTTGTTGGTTAAGTGTGTCGTTTGTGTTAAATTAATTCCAGCCGTATGTCACAAAACTCCTCTCATTTCTTACCACAGTTCTCTCTCTCCGACCTCTGCTTGTGTAGCTAACATCTCTCTTACTGCTCCTCTTCTTCAATTCAGCAGTTTGCCTCATTGACGAAGAGAACGAGTTTAAATACATGATGAGAAAATGGAAGACGAAGATGTTCAGTGTTACAAGTCCAGTGACAAAGAAGATGACTTCATAGGAGATAAATTAAATGACTATCACTCTAGTCTAGGATGTTGGATGCATACAATTGCTTATTATAACGTGATTCTTTATCTATTAGATTTATGTTTGTACTGCAAACTTATCTTAAACTTTCTTTCCTTTTATGCATAAGAACATTGACAGAATCATCAAGTACATTTGGCAGACAACAGGAACATAGTGCTTTTATTGCAAAATATGTATGTATATACATATAGGAAAATTCAGTTTTAATGCATTGTGTGTTTCCCTTCAATGTAGGATAAACAGTGCAATGTGCCATGCAGTATAGCTCCAATGGACCTCTGCCATATGGGCAATTAAGAAATATGCTAAGATTTATTCAAAAGATTTCATTTTCTGCTTCTTTTCTTCTATAGACTACCTTTTTTAACTGAGTTCTTGAAAGGCAATTTGCATTTGAACGATAAAAATGGGCATATAAGATACACATTTAAATGCAATGTATTAAATATGGGCCGGAAAAGAAAAACAGTCATGTTAAAAAAGTTAATTTATTTGCTTTCTCAAACAAATAAACAGAGAACACTATTAAAATGGATCAATATCTACACCACGATAGCATCAAATTAATGATACATATGAAGCACCTCGATAGAAAAAACGTTTCCTGGGATGAGTTTTGTGAAATTCATCGATGAGAAAGCTCAAAGTATCAGGTAAATACAATAATGGCTAGAAATCAAAGGGTTCCATTCTTCTCCCTTGGACAAAAAACAAGTAAAAAGTAAGCAGAGCAAGAAAATTCAATTAATGCGAGCACTATGGTTGGAATAAAGCAAATAACAGAGAAAAGCAAATCCTAGATAAATACGTACTTTATCAGCAATACTTCTCCTTCGGATGGTCTTGCTTCATATCATATAGACCGTAAAAATTTAGTGCATAATGTAGGTGCAGAAAACTAAAAATTTAGTGAATGGTGCAAGTGCAGAAAATTAAGCGGTACTGGAGGGAGATCAGCAATCAAAAAATGATTCAGCCAGGTGAAAATTAGAAAAGCCCTAATTACCTTTATGGCTGAAGTCCCTTTTAATCCATGAACAGCATTACGGAGAAATTAAGCTTTCAACACACACATCTACTTCATAATGATATTCCAAGTTAATAAACTGAGAATAGTGGAGTGAATTCTCATTTGGATCATAAACTCCCAACTTTGGTCTTGGCCCAGTCACAAACAGAAGCTGACCATTCTCTGATAAAATCAAAGGCTTGCTGAATACATTACCATCAGGATACTGAAAACAAGGAACAACAACCACTTTAGACCAAGATTCTCTTACTCCATACTCCTTCATGAGCCATACATCCACCTGATTGCCTCCAGAATAAAGGAACAAAGAGAGGCATCCTCTTAATGTTCCTATTTTCCACGTACAATTGGTAATCACCTCTTCAGGGAGTTCTATCTCTTTAAAAATGTCATTCGCCAAATCAAGACCTACAATTTTCCGCTCAGAAGCTATATTCCAAATACCACGACTTTGAGGATCATATGCAATAAAGTGGAAAATCCCATTCAGACAATAACAGCCGCCTAGCTCAATCAAAGAGTACTTAAGATCTTCAATCTTCTTCCAAGAATCCGTCTTCCAGCTATAAACCTTAGCCAGAGTCTCATTCCGCATACCACCAACTGAGGAAAGTACAAGAACCTTAAAATCATCATTAGACTCATCATAACCAATCCCACATAACAAGCGAGAAGAGCCGGGTAACTTATGCTCCTTTTTAATCCCAGAATCAGGCAACTCTCTATAGTTTCTTGTAGCAGGATTCCACAACAACATACTTTCTCCCTCAACCATGATCAAAACCAACCCACGACAAGAACCCCAAGTCTTGTTTATATAATACCTGAATTTTTCAACAGGAATACTAATAATAAAGTCGTTGGTTACCTCAATTTTCTTGGGTAACACACAGGAAAAAGCACTATGAAGGGAACACCCAAACTGCCTGAGCCTAAAGTTGACCCCGAGCTCGAACCCGTACCCGAGCCTTTCATCATGTTCCAGCTCAACCTTAAAGAACATGATCCTATGATGCTCGTTTTCCTTGTCTTCCGTGCATCTTTTGTAATGGGATTTGACGAGATTGGGGCTGAAGATCAAGGAATGCCAAGATTTCGAAACGCAGCTGAGCCTCCCCAGGGATCTGACCGGAAGCCTTGTGAATATTTGAAGCAAAATATCATCAGGAATACTGCTGATAATTGGCTGGAATTGGGGTTCGGGGCTGGTTTTGATTTTCTTTTCTCGGGTTCTTTCTCGCATTTTTGAAGGGGTTCTAGAGGAATGAGAGATCTGAAGAGAGAGCTCCAGAGAGGGGTTCTTTCTTTGCAGAGTGTCAAGTTCTGAGAAGTTGTCTCAGATATGGCCGGAAGCGGGGCAGGTTCGGAACCGTGTAATTTTTGTCACGTTTTGTAAATCTGACCTAAACTTTCCGTGCATCCTCGTAACAGAAATATGATATTTTACAAGTAATAATTATATCTCTATTATTAAATTTTAGGGCAAAAAACCTCAGCGGCCATTAAACTATTGGTCGAATCATGTTTTGACCATCAAACTATTTTTCGTCAATAATTGACTACTAAACAACTTAATCAGTAAATTCGTGACCATTTGGTAGATAATTGCTCTTAATATGAAAAATTAACCGTACACGTGGCAAATTATGGGATCAATTTTGTCCGGCAACTAGTTGACCGTATTCTCCTCTTATTTCTTTCCTGAAACAATCACCGAATGGAACATCACGTGGAGGAAAAAATAGAGACTCAATTGGGAGCCCTAAATCTTCAGCCACCACAAATCAAAGAAGCTGAAGAAGAAGATGAAGAATGTCGAGGAGCTCTCCTAAACCCATACCTAGATGCTCCTGCGAATTAACATCAACAATGAAAACCTCATGGACAAATTAGAACCCAGCAAGAAGATTTGTGGTATGCCCTTTAGGAGAGGTAAGATTTTTTCTAGAAATGACGCCTTTACCAGTAAAAGAGTGACGTCTAAAAGCCGGCTTGCGGAGAAGCTCTCAGCCTTCATCTGGGTTAAGAAACCTCATCCGCTGAACGATTCCTTGTCGTCGGCTGATGACGAAGCTATATTGTTCGCAACTCTGTCATCCCGAGTGGTGAGCTGCACTCTACTGGCAGTTGGTTCTCGAGACGGAAGTGCAATGCGGAGGCACTCCCAAGCATCGGCAAAGCAGACATCATCCAAAACAATCAAGAATCTCTTGGACTGCAGGAACTGGTAAAGCTTCTGAGCCAAGTCCAAGTCTGAAAATAGGGCCATGTCATCCCTGGCTCAGTAGACATGTTGCAGCAGCAAATCTTCCAAAATTTTTCTGGTGCGGAAGTCCTTCCCCACCGTAGCCCAAGCAAAGCAAACAAAATGGCGGCGGACGAAGCAGTCCCCAGGTACCTTTTGGGCGAGAGTTGTCTTCCCGATTCCACCCATTCCAAATATCCCAATTTAGAAAATCGATCGCGTAGTTAATAGACAAAATTGCCCCCAAACTTTGCCACGTGTATTACTAATTTCACAGATTAAGAGCAATTATCTATCAAATGGTCGCGACTTTACTGATTAAGTTGTTTAATGGCCAATTATTAACGAAAAATAGTTTGATGGTCAAAACATGATCCGACCAATAGTTTAGTGGCCGCTGAGATTTTTTGCCCTAAATTTTATAAATAATCCACGTAAAATTATACATCGTTTAGAATAATTATTACTGACAACTATTGATACTTGGGGCGGATGCGAGGTTGGAGCGGTTGTCAGAACAATCACTCCGGAAGGTGTAACATCATTTGTACATGGTGTAACATCATCTGTACAAAGTGTAATAATAGAACAACAGCGAGTAACATTAGAACAATATTTTTGTGAGTCTCACATGACGTGAAAATCGAATTACAAAACGTGATCTGAGCCGCCGCACAAATTTTTGAGACCTCATCTAGGCCATGAGATGCCTGGGACGGCAGGCCCCTCGTCCGCTTGGGACAAGGGGCAGGTCTGTCATGACCATCTGCACAAAGGCGGCGTTAACCAAGTGGCCCACTGCCTTGGACAACTTGTGGGCTGTTTTTCAAAAAAAAAAATCACAATTCCATCAACATCTACCCTAATAATAGAAGTTATATCATCGAAGGTACGTAGATTTGAAAGAATAGAAATAAAGAATAGATACTATAAATTTGAAGAGCAAAAGGAAGTGCAGCAATTTATCTATTGGAAGACGATTTTAAAATTTGTTGTACCTTTCAGGTTTGTTCTTGATTTTTTTAGATCTATTGTATCTGTTAAATTGTATATTTGTAATTTATAGTGCATGTTTAATTTGTTATTGGGGCAGCGATATAAATTAAAGCATGTTAGACAATTAATTTTCAACAATCTGTTAATGAAATTTGCTTTCTATCAGAAAAAATTGGCATAATTGAAATTAAGGTAGATATTGTAGTTCATTTTTCTTTTTTGTGTTTTGTGTAGCGTGGAACTAAAATTTTTTCAATGAAAAATTAATGTCTAAGCATTTGAGGTATAAAAGTTACGAACGTTAGGTTGAAAAAGATTTGGCAAATTGGCGGTCAAGTAATATTGAAAAACTTTGAAATCACCCTAATTGCACGAAATTCTAGAAGTATATATTTCAAATCTGAAAAGTGAAATATGAATATGAGTACATGTGAGCTGATTCCTTGTTTGAATTGTGATTTTTTGAAAAAAAAAATTATTACATTTTTTATAAATATATTTTCCAATCACTTTTTATTTCACATGTATCAAATCGTTACAGTACATTTTTCTGCAAAAACTCTCCAAAATAACAATCTAAACAGGGATGGCATAAGAGTTATCTGCCTAAGTCTACGTCTTTAATTTGACAATATGTATGATCAAATAAATAATGATGAATAAATTCAGCTAGAGGGCAAAACGATGAAAAGTTATCTAGAAATGGAAGTCCAAAAGAGGAATACTAAATTTTTTGTATGTATTTACATATATTATATGTAACATAATCTGGAGTTTCTTTTTTTTTTTTAAAATGGAGTATTTAGAGTGGTTTACAAGACAATCGTATATTCCAAAATTCGAATAGTGGGTTATTTTATGTCCAATGCTCTGGCCACATAAAATTATAGTGGGCTTAGGCTCAACGCATGTGGGTCAAGCATTGTAGTAATGGGCCGGAGAAGTAGGCGAAAATAAAACAATTCCATTGCATCTATTGCTACTGCAAAATATTCAAGAGTGCCTGCTTATGTCATCTGTATAAAAGGCTCTATAAGGAGTTAGTATACTTTTTTTTTTTTGGTCGATACAGGGTACCTGAGTCTTCAGCCCGACTATTCCCCTTGCAGCCGAAGAGGAGAAGCCCAATAACCCCTCGAATGCGTTACCCCTGGAACTCGAACCGTGATCACCATATCCTAAAGAGGAGCAACGAACCATTCGAGCTATCCCGAGTTGGGCATATAAGGAGTTAGTACACAAGGATGTCTTTTAGTATAAAGGGGTGCATTGGTGCTCTAGCATTTCTTTTGAATTTTTTTCAAAACATACAAATAGGTATACAAAACTGACTTAGATTAAAGGGATACTCTGATATTTCTTTCGAAATTTTTTATTGCGGATTACTACATGTAGAGTTCAAACCCCCTGACCTCTATGTTTTCAGAACCGGACCGGATATCGACTCGGCCGAGGTCAGGGGTCAGGGGTCAATGGATTCGACCGGGGGTCGATAGGGGTCGAACCGGATGACGTCATAAATAAAAATTATTTAAAAATTAAATTATTGTATATAAAATATCCAATAATATATTGATATTAATAAAGGTATATTCATATATATTTGATGTTTCAAATATATTTAACAAGAAAATACAAAGAAATTAGAACAATCAAGTAACAATTTATATTATTTAATAAACATTAGCAAGTTTAGAATTAAAATTATGGATTTAATTGAAAAATAACATCAAATTTTAGGACAATATTTATAAAGTATGAAATATTTGAGGTATATTAATAAATTTTCACAATTTAGGGGGCCAAAATATAATATTAAAAAAATTTGAACTTTTTTTACAAAAGCTACTGTTGGACCGGTTTTTCCGGTTCTGTACCGGTCAAACCCGGTCAAACCCGGGTTTTGACCGGAGTTGACCGGGTTTTGAATCTTCCGGTTTTGATGATCAACTCGGACCGGACACTTGACCGGTTCCCGGTTCAACCGGTCGGACCGGCCGGTCCGGTCCGAGTTTGAAAACACAGCCTGACCTACATCACAAAAAAGACCTTCATCCTTTTTTTGTAGCCAATGAGCCAAAACTCAGTGGTTAGCTTAACTTTTATTCTAAAAAGCTTACTATTCTGTTTGAGCCTCACTCCTCACTCAAGTGAGGCTTTAGCAAGTCAATCTCTAACAAGCTGAATTTCTTACGCGTAAATTTCAAGTTTTATCTATATTGAACTGAACTTCAAATCTTAATCAGTGCTAATTATTGTTCATACTTTTTATTGCACTAGTTGTCAATCAAGTTTTTTGGGATTTGAGAATGTATTTGGTTCAACAATGCCACTCACATTGTTTAAGGGAGAGGTCACGAAAAGCTAGGTAGGAAGAAGAGAATTACGTAGCCTATAGTTAGATGCAAGTACTCGTTTAGGCTAGTAGACCAATATACCAAGTCAAGTAGAAGTGTAAAGAGACAGTGAATGTATTTCTTTTCCTATAATTACTTTAACATGGCATATCCATTTTCATATCATTAAGCAGATAGTCACTTGTATTAGACTCATTATATTCCTAGCAATCCAATGAGTCATAATAGGAACTGTTCTTCCTCATTTATATGTGAGAATTTCATTTCACCATCAAAGCCTATAATCATATATCACATCAAAACCAAACCTCTTCATACAAGTAATTACATACATAATTGTGATCTTCAACATTCATTATCTGGTGCAGCATTGGCCTCATGGTTGACTCTTCAATCTTGATTTACTCTTCCCGTTGAGCCACTATCACTATCTTCATTCACAACGCCAAGGTCGGAAGCAAGGTTTTCATGACTGGCATTTCTATCACCATCATTCATGTTTATCTTATCGTTCAAATTCAGTGCACTCTCATCTAATACAATCAGAGGAGCAACATTACTTATTTTCACATGTAGATTGATGACTCTGATTTTTCTATACATGAAAAACATGAGTCTCGTATCTTCATCACTGGACACATCCAGCATACGTGATGTACCAAGAAACTCACAACTAAGGTCTATCATAATGCTCTCATTCCCAGGTGCATCATGAATTGCAGCTTCACAGACTTCATTCACAAGATGGAGAAAAGAGTAGTTGTTAGGGTTCACATTCCTAATAATTGCCTTTTCATTCTTGTAGTACACAACTATGTCATAAGGGGCGTCAGCCATCTACAGAGAGAGAAGAAAATGCAACTTATAATACAGAGAGAAAGAAGATGAGGTAACCAACAAAGAAAAAGTAATTACCAAAATGAATGGCAAAGTTAACTAACTAATGATCAAGATATTATAATTCCTGCAAGGCAAACAACAGGCTTTGACGCATGATTCAATATATTCTACCAAAATTAGCTACATCATATACAAACACTTTTACTTAAACAAATAGATATATAGTGATTATCTAATTAATCAAACAAAACGTCATCATTAACAATCCATGAGCATGAAACCAAATAATAAAATGTTAAGTTCTTTACAAAATATTGCTGTCATAGTGCTGTTTGACACCCCCAACATACAATAAATGTTGAGAGACGAAAAAAAAATTAGGGAAAAAATGATGACGTTACTTGCAACTCCTCTGAAAAGAATTGCTAATTAATTACAGTGGAAAACAAAAAGGAAGTAAAGACTTTTTAGAGAAGAAAACTAATTATACAATTAGAAAACAAGAGTAAAAGAAAGTAGAGACAAGCATGCTTACCACTAATAAGTAAAATAGAACAGTGTAACCGAATGAGAATGGATCAGAGAGAAGGAAAAGAGCGAAGTTGGGTGATAAGAATTTGATTCACGAGATCTATATATACTAGCTAGAACTATAAATCGGTAATTGCATTTAGAGAAGTTTGTTGCAGCTCAATACATGCTAGGCCATTTATTGAATTCAATTGCATATGTTAAAAGCGGACTTCAATGAATTGGAACCTTTAACACTTTAGTCCCTCAGATTATCTCAAATGAAAATTGGTTGAGTATCTATTGAGATCGGTTTCTTCTAGCAAAACTTTAAATCTTGCTATGACAATAGTATAGCATTCAGAGAATATAGAATTCTAATTAAGTCAAGAATGCCATGAACCAATATGAATTGAACTGAAAATTCTTCTAATCAGTAAACACCGAATCCTATATTCTATTGGGAAATTAAAGGAAAATAATCCGAGACATAGAAGAGGGACAAAAATTTCTTAGAGTTCCATAAATATGTCTGTGTTTGTCCACACACCAGTGTGAATGCGTGAGACAAGCTTTCGAAGAGAGAGATTCAAAAGATA